CCCCCCCCCACCCACCCACACATCCCAGTCAGCCCCTCCCCGGCGATCCCAGCTGGGGCCCACTGCCCCAGCCATCAGAAGGCTTCTCCCTGCTCCCTCCCACCCCCAGGAACTCGCATTCGCTGACACTGTACACGGCCCTTCAGCCCATCACCCCCCAAGCAGGCCCCCAGCTTGGAGCCCCACAAGGCACCGGGCCACACTCCACCCCCCTTGGAGCTGGGGGGCTCAGAGCAGGCCCCCCCCAGGCAATGGTGAGTGCCCACCACACTCACGGCTCAGGAGCATGATCCTCCTTGGCACGGGTCTCGGCGGAGGAGGAGAGGTGCTGCGGGTTGATGGAGATGTCGGACTTCCGGGCTCTGTTGACGTCTGACTTGTACAGCTGCTCGGAGATGCTCAGGAGCTCCTCATTGGTGATGGAGGAGTGGCTGCTGGAGAATTCCTCTGCAGGGTTCAGGCCAGTGCACAAGCAGAGGAGGGTGTGAAGAGCGAGGCCTGGGAGCTTACCCTTCCGGGGGGGAGGGGAGCTGCGTGCCCTACTGTCCGCAATTCCAAAGACTCATGTGCCCCACATCGGAGCTGCAGGGGCTGGGGCAGGGCTATTGAAAGCCACCGCAATGCTAGGGAGAGGAAGAGCTGAGGCTTCTAAGCAGGGGAACACCAAAGCCCCAGCATGACCTCGCTGCTGGGGTGAAAGTCGGGAAATCCAGAGCTGAGCATCCCCCAAGGGGGCCAGGTTTGCAACTGAGAGGAATTCCCTGCAGACAAGACTTCCCAACCCTGGCAACCAGTGAGTCGGTAGGGAAGGGCCCCAGTTATCTAGGGTGGGAGCAAGCCCTACACAAGCCCCTCCCCCTGTCATCTTGGCACCGGCAAGAACAATGCTACTAGCTGCAGCACTTTCACCAGCAGACCCCCAGTATCTGTTGCTTGCATCAAGCTCTGGCTCCTGGAGTCATGTGATGATGGGGAGGTGACAGCTGATAGTCCCAGCCCATGCTGCTACCTTTGGCCCCAGCGGTCATGCTGCTATTTTTGAGCATCCACTCAGCAGTGTCGCTGCATCTGTGTCTGCCTGGGCTGCAAGGCGGAGACAGACCCGACAGGTCTAAAAGGACCACTGTGATCAGCCAGTGTGACCTGTACACAACACAGGCCAGAGCCCTTCCCTGAATCAGTTCCCTTCTGGACCAGAGCAGATCTTGCAGCTCAGGGTTTTCCAGCCGTTTCATTGCGGTCCCCTGAAAGATTCCCAGTGGAGGTGGGGAGGACCCCTTTGAAAATCTTAGGCCTAGTCCCAGGGTCCACAGACCAGGGGTGAAAACCACCGTATCAGTGAGAGTATCCAGTCTTGATTGGAAAACGGCCAGTCTTGGGGTATCCACCACTTCCCTTGGTAAATTATTACAAAGTTGAATTGCCCTCACTTTTAGACATGAACCTTATTTATCTGCATTTGTCTAACTTCAGCATCCAGCCTGGGATCGTATCAGCCCTTTGTCCGTTACACTGACACGCCCGTTATTAAAGATCTGTGCCTGGGTAGTTACGTGTGGACTTGAATCAACTCACCCCTTGACCTCTCTCTGTTAAGCTAAAGTGACTGAGACCTTGGCTGCATCTAGACTAGCAGCTGCTTTTGCGGAAAAACTTGCCAGCTGTCTACACTGGCCGCTTGATTTTGCGCAAAAGCACTGACGTTCTACTGTCCGAAATCAGTGCTTCTTGCGCAAATGCTTTGACGTTCCCATTCGGGCAAAAGCCCTTTTCCGGAAATGATTTTGTGCAAGAGGGCCAGTGTAGACAGCTAAAAACTGTTTTGCGCAAAAAAGCCCTGATGGCGAAAATGGCAATCGGGGCTTTCTTGTGCAAAACCGCATCTAGATTGGCATGGACGCTTTTCCGCAAAAACTGCTTTTGCGGAAAAGCGTACGTGCCAATCTAGACGGTTTTTCGCAAATGCTTTTAACGGAAAAACTTTTCCATTAAAAGCATTTGTGGAAAATCATGCCAGTCTAGACGTAGCCCTTGAGTCTCCCACTCCAAGGCAGCTTTTCCAATCCCTTGGTCATACTCTGAACCCTCCACTTTATTAACATCCCTGTTGAATTGTGGGCACCAGAACTGGGCACAGGATTCCAGCAGCAGCCATGGCAGCGCCACACGGGTACAACGACCTCGCTGCTCCTAGGCGAGGTTCCCATTCGGTCATCCCAGGAGCATGTTAGCCCCAGTCTCACATGGGGAGCTCATGTTCAGCTGATTATCCACCAGGACTCCCACATCTTTCTGAGTCCCTGCTTCCTAGGCCTGCATCCCCTTCCCGTGAGCATGGCTGCATTCTTTGCTCCAGGATAGGGAGATAGCAACTGATCTTCCTCCTGTGCTGCACAGCACCGTCTGCCTGCACTGTGCACAGAAGGGGGTCAGTGCTTCAAATGCCACTCGCACTCCTCTGTGCAGGCAGGGAGAGGGTCTGTTCTCATTCAGATAGCCAGGGAGGGGTCCCGGACGCATCAGCTCCGCTCTGCTGGAGGAATAAAGAGCACCTGTCACACTGGCAGGATGGGCTCTGGGTGGGAAGCAGGACTCCGAAAGGACTAGACTTCCCCACCCCCGAGTCCCAGTTGGCTTGGGGCTGGAGGAGAGGCAGGGCAGGCCACGGGTTAGCTGGTAAGCATCTCCCTCACTGGCTCCTTTCCAGTAACTGGTTAACCAGCGGTCTGGCTGGGCTGGAACGGCGCCTGCGCTGCAGGTGGGGGCTGTTCCAGTTTGGCTGGGCCCCTCGCTCGCAGGATCTCGGCTGAGCAGTTAAACAGAACAATTAACCAGTTCACTGATTAAATGGGATTTTACAGCCCTGAGAGGGTCTTGGGGCTGATGATGGAAACCAGCTGAACATGAGGTTCCAGCGTTGCTGTTTCTGGGCGTGTGAGCACAGGGCTCGGCCATATCACAGGGAATAGCGAGTCTGAGCAGGGAGTGCGTACAGCATTGGCGAGACCGACTCTGGATGCTGGGCCCGCCTTTCCGAAAGAAGCTGAATGACAAAGCGGAAAGGGGTCAGAGAAAAGCCCCAGGAATGACTCTCATTGTGGAACCCCAGACCAAAGGAATTCCGTCTGTTTAGCTTATCCAAGAGCAAGTGATGCGGCGTTTGGGCCAAGTCTGTAGCACCCAGTGGGGAGGAGGTTTCTGGCAGCAGATGCTTTCTGAATGGGAGACAATGGCAGAATGAAATCCAGTGGCCACAGCTGAAGTGGAAGAGTTCCACATTGGACCAGCTCGCCCAGGAGCTGGAGGGCGTCTCTGTCTCTATGGGTTTGGGTGTAAATTAGAGGCATGTAAATTAGATTACCCGACACAGTTAATGAAGTGGGGATTTAAATATCCCCCGCTTCATTAAAATAAAAATGGCTGCCGCTCTGTGCTGGTTCAGCTGATTGTCGGCGCAGCACGGCAGGGAAGATGTGGATCGGTCGACAGGGGAAGCCTTTGTCGACTGCTCCCTTATGCCTCATGAAACAAGGCTTACAGGACCGGTCGACAAAGGCTTCCCCAGCTGACCGATCTGCGTCTAGACTACTGCGTTGTTGATTGATCCGCATCTGGACTGCCGTGCTGTGCCGATGATCAGCTGAGCCGGCACACTACAGCGGCCATTTTTATTTTAATGAAGCGGGAGATATTTAAATCCCCGCTTCATTGACTATGTCGGGTTGTCTAATTTACATGCCTGTGTCGGCAGAGGCATGTAGTCTAGACATACCCTTGGAGTCCTTAAATCTCCGTCAGAAGGATGTGCCCTAGCCCAATCACAGACTATCACTACACCGCTGATTGCTGGGCCCATGCAAGGACCCTGGAGAATTCTCTGGCTCGTATTTTTCGTGACCTTGAACTGGCGTCACCATGAGCTTAAAATTCCATTACTCTCTGATGCCATAGGCCTGTGGGGACCCAGAGGTTTTATGACACTGTCTGGCTCTTCTAGCCCCTTGCATCTGCACCTTATTACACCTCATACCTACAAGTTCTGACCTGCACTGACCTCTGCGGCACACGGCCCTACCACTGTGCTGCCACCGGCTGCTAACTACACTTCACTGCCTTACTTACAATAAGATGCTGACTCGTGAGAGTCACAGCTTTGGAAACCCATAGACTTTGTCCTGGTAAGAAATGCAGAAGAGCAACAGCACAGGTGCAGAGCCTGGGATGCAGGGAACCGGAGGCAGGGACTGGCTGGAATAAGGCCTCAGGTCACACATGTTGCTAGCGCCAAGAGAGGCTACTCACCGCTGGAGTGGGCAGGCCTGGAAGCAGTGTCCTTCAGTCTCCCATCTACATTCAGTGAAAAGAAAACAGAAACCGAAAGATCCCTTTGTAGCCAGTCGCAGGCACAGGCGTCCCGGGTTGTGGGGACTCTGGGGGACTTACACTGAAGGTGTTATTAAGAGAAACTGAGCATTGCAGTCCCAGCCTGTTGTCTACTCACTAAAGTGTTGTCTATTCATTAAAAGACAGCATCACACATGGGCTCGCACGCACACAAACACACACACACAATTTTCACACTCAAGGGCACGTCCAAGGACCCACCCCCGCAGACACGAGTGCCCACAGCCAGTGCCTTGCTTTGCCGGGTGGGTCTGCGCACTCTGTTTGGGACCAATAACCATGAGAATTCCCCCAACCAAGAGCCACCCCCCAATGGATACTGACAGATGGAGTAGGAGAACGACAGCCGGGCAGAGAAGCAGGCCAGAGCCCAGCCTCGTGGGCCCCCGAGGTTGCTCACCCTTGCTGCAGTGCACGTGGTAGTCTTCACAGCAGTTGCGATGTTTTTCACACTTGGTATTACAATGACACTCATCCTCCCTGTTGTATCGCTCGTGACAGCGCCCCTTGCAGGAGTCGGCATCAGTGTACAAGCCTGGGGCAAAGGGAAATTAAAGCTTTGGCTGAAAAGGCGGGGTGGGCTAGTCCCGTGGGAATCCCACTGCTGCTCCAATCAAGATGGGCCCGGATCCACACTGCGGCAGCTGCCCAGGCCACACACTCCAGAGGCCGGTGCAGAGCGATGGAGGTTCCTTTCAGCGACCAGTGACCGGAGCCACCGCGCCATGTGCACAGACGCCGCAGCGCGAGCCCTCGGAGAGGCTGTCCTGGCCCAGGCCGGCAGCAGGGTGTCGATTGCACTCAGGAAGCCACGGGGCAGAGGTGAGTAGCGATGGTCTCGACCTGCCACATTTGGCTCCCAGCCTGGCGTTGGCTGGCCTTGAGAGGTGATTGCATTGGACAGGGAGGTTCTGCTGGTGGCAGAGGCTGCAGCTCACCCTGGGCAGAGCACGCAGCGAGTCCCCCTGTGCTGAGACCTGCCCACCAGGCTGTGCTGAGCGATGAGACAGGCTCAGGGGTTGCTGGGTGGTGCCATGGCCAGTGCTGGAGCTCAGGGTGGACGGTCCCTCTGGTCCCGCCAGACCTTGCGCTAGAAGGCTCGGTGAAGGAGGAAGTCAGCATGAGGCCTGGGCGGCTGGTAAGCCCCATATGACCCTGTGTCATAGCTCCTGTCATTCCAAAGCCAGGAGGGACCATTGTGACTGTCCGACTGAGCCCCATGCTGGCCAGAGAATCCCTGGCCCCCACCCTCCGGCTTGTGAGCGCAGACTTGTCCCGGGGTAAATTTCACCCTGGGACGGGCCACCAAGGGAGTTAACAGCACGTTGTGTTAATTCTCAGTGTTGAGAATCCCGGACTGCAGCCCCGGGGAATCAATAGTAACTCACCGGCAGAGTCGGGAGGTCCCGTCTCCGTTTCCTCCGTATCCTCAGCAGCTGCAAGAGAGGGAAAGAAAAGACCATGAGAGGCTCTAGTGGGCTGAGTGGGGCTGAACTCACTGATCTGGGAGTGGCCCAGGCGTGGCAGTACCAGGCAGTGGGACCTTCCCCCCTGCTCCAAGCAGGAGCACATCACTGTTGGTTTGTACCAACTACATGTTACTCTTTGCTCATAGGCCTCCTGCTTAGTGTATGGGAGCCTGGTCCCAAGACTCCGCCCATTCCTTGCTCACTCAGGGTGAGTAAATGTCCCTTTAACATGTACCTCTGGGCCCGCTGCAGGTGACCATTTGGGATCATTTGGGATTAGCCAGAGCCAGTCATATGCATATATTTATATAGACACAATCACAAGACTTACACATATTTGGGGTGAAATGCCTGCATAGAGGTTGTGTCTCAGCCTAATGCTGGCCCCGCTGCACACAGAGGGCACGTCTAAACTACATTCCTTTTGCGAAAGAGGAATGTAAATGAAGCAAATCGAAAATGCAAATGAAGTGCAGATTTAAATATCCTGCGCTTCATTAGCATATTTTTGTCCAAGCGCTTTTTCGCAAAAGGGTTTTTCGAAAGTGAAAGCCCCATCTAGACTGGGTTCTTTTGGAAAAAAAACCCCGACTAGACTGCGCTTTCACTTTTGGAAACCCCTTTTTTGAAAAAGCACTCAGGGTATGTCTACACTAGCCACCTTAGTTCGAACTAGGGTGGCTAATGCAGTCATTCAAACTTGCAAATGAAGCCCGGGATTTAAATATCCCAGGCTTTATTTGCATGTTCCCGGGCACCACCATTTTTAAATGCCCGGCTACACGCAGCACGAGCTAGGCAGTTCGAACTAAAGCCCCTAATTTGGACTACCGTTACTCCTCATATTTAAATCCGCGCTTCATTTGCACTTTCGATTTGCTTCATTTATATTCCTCTTTCAAAAGAGGAATGTATTCTAGACACAGCCAAAGAGTCTCTAATCACTAAGGCCTGGTCTACACGTCAGACGTGTGTCTATGGAAGTCACTTTTGGTTGACTAATAATTGATGCGTCTACACTACCAGGTCCCTTCTGCTGATCTAAATCACCTGAAATGTCAGCTCCCTACTCCACTTGTGTGAGAGGCAAAGCGCTTAGTTCAGTGTCGACGGGTCGACAGAGAGACAGTGAGGCCGCAGGGTTGTGTAAGTCAACCGAATTCGCCTGCAGGAGGTTTCCCACAACACTCCTCTGTAAGCAGCCAGGCACACGGGGAGCAGCCCCTCCCCTGTTAAAGCCTCAGGAACTTTGGAATTTCCCACAGTCCTGGCATAGGGCAGGACCTTGGGAATCTCTCCAGGGCAAATGCTAATTGCCTCCGCTTTCAAGTGCATCTCATAAACTCTGGCACAGCAGGTGAGTCTCCATGGCTGACCTGTGTCAGGGGAACTAAAAGCCGCTATGGGTGGCTTTGTTGGTTTGTTTTAGAGGTGCAGTCACCAGTGCAGCTAACGGACACTGACCTGCACTCCATGCAGCCCAGTGAGGGAGGAGTGAGCATGCCTGCAGGGGCAAAGAGGCCATAGGCCACTCGGCTACTCCTGATCCTGGCCCATGCCGGACACTGCCTGGTCAGTTCAAAGCAGTGGTGGGCCACCTGCGGCCCACTGGGGCTCCACCTGTGGCCCACAGGCCCCCTGGCTGCCCTCCTCCCCCACACGCCTCTCGCACATGGGGGAACCAGAGCCCCACTTTCCTGATCCTCCCCACCCTTCCCAGCACTTTCCGAGGAGCCAAGAATCATCTGATTGGTGCTCCGTCCCCGCTCCTCCCCCTCCCTCCCAGAGCTGGAATGCTGCAAATCAGCTGTTTGTGGTGTTCCAGCTCTGGGAGGGAGGGGAAGGTGTGGAGACAGAGATCCAGGTGATTCACGGCTCCTCCGAAAGTGCTGGAGGGAGGGGGAAGAGCAGGTAAGTGCATGGCTCTGGTGCCCCAGTGCACTCCAGGCACAGAGGGGAGGGGGACAGGCAGGAAAGCCACAGGCTGCAAATGGAGCCCTGGTGGGCCATAGACTGCTGTGGCCCACTGAGGTGAAGGAAGGCCCAGGAGAGGGATCATGTGAGGATTACCTGTTGGGTTCCCTCCCTTTGGGGCACCCGGCACTGGCCACTGTTGGAAACAGGACACTGGGCTAGATGGACCTTTGGTCTGACCCATTCTAGCCGTTCTTATGTCCTTATGTGACCCACCCACCATTCCTAGTTGCCCATCCCATGGGAGTGTTGTTTGCCTGCAGTGTGACCAGCTCACGCCCCTCACAAGAATCTCTCCACTGCTCCTCTATCAAACTCATGCTCCTTGCCCATACCTGGCAGGCCATCCTGGCTAGCAAACCAGTCCCACCATGAGTCTAGATTCCAAGACCCCACGATCATCTAGTGTGACTTCCTGGATAACCCAGGCCAGAGGACGTTCCCCCAGAATAATCCTCACGGAACTATTTCGAGGATCAACATCCAAGCTTCACTAAACATTTCAGCGATGGCAAAACCACCCTGGCCTGTAAATCGTTCCAATGATTCATTATTCCCACTGTGGAACGGTTACGCCGTATTTCCAGGAAAGTGACCACTGGGTCATGGGGCTCAGTTTTATTTATTCTTCTTATTTACCACTTGTGGACTAGTAGCACTAGTAGCCCCAGTCATGGCCCAGGGCTGCTCAAACGTGGAATAACAGGAAAGTCCCTGTCCCAGAGGGATTACAGGCTAGTCCTGGCATGTGGATTATAGCTTGTAACCTCCATTGAAAGACTCAGACTAGCAGACGTGTACAGAGAATTGACCCCTGTGAATCGATCCATGTGCATCCATCCCTAACACCCTCTTCCACTGTCCCTGCTTCTTGTGATACCCCCCTGAGCCGTCTGGGGCAGGGCTCTCACCCAGGCCTTTTCTAACCCAGGACTGGAAGGGGGGTTCATTGTCTGGTGGCCCCGTTATACCCCCAGCTCAATCAAGCTCCATTTAACAAGCACCTTCTGAAGAGCCAGTCAAGACAAGGGCTGTCAGACTTTGGCTGGAGCTTAACTAGTTGAGCTGAAGCTAGCGGGTAGCAGGGTTTTAGCACCAATGTGCTGCTCAGAGGGCAGAAGCAGACCACACTAGCTAGCAATGCGCCTTTCAGTAGTGGCTCACAGAGTCCATGTGCATGGACAGCACCTGGCACCCTGGGCCCCGGTCTAGGCACTACTGCCACAGGCAGCACATGCAATCAGTACTGGGGGGGGGGGGTTGACTTAGCTCTCTCAGGGAGAGCCTCCTTTGATGGAGGCAACTTACCCCATATAAGATCTGGGACAGTAAATGTCCAGTCAGCAGCCAGCTGGGTTTCAGCTCCAGAAAACGCTTCATAACGCTCACTGCATGCGCTGAGCCTGAGTCTCCCCGGCCAATCAGGCAGCAGAAGCATTTGCATTTACATTACTAGCAGTGAGCTCAGGCTCTTCAATTCTGGCCAGACAACCCTGCTCTAGCGGCAGCATCACTCCGACTCCGCACTCCCCCAGCACAGGGCTACGGACTGCCCGTGGCACTGGAGAAAGGGGAATTGGGCTCCCTACTGGTCTGGGCAGCCAGGTCTGCGGCTTCACAGAGTCTTCCCTGCATGGATTTCCTGTTGTTTGCACCCACTCCGTTCCAGAAATATCCCCGGACACCTCCTGGATTCCAGGTTCTTTAGAAGGTTCCTCCCTGTTATTTTAGACTAGTCACTTATCAACAAGAATAACTTCTGCCCTTGCAATAGTCAGAACAGTTACAGGGACAGCCAGGTAATCCTCATGCGGCAAAGGCGAATCTCATTGCTCAGGAAAGGGAAAGGGTCCTTCTGTGTTGCCGCATTGCACAAGTGCCCTCTTTCCTGGGAGTTCAGGAGTGGGTGGGTTTGCCTCCTGCCGAAGGGCCCCTGCACTGGCAGAGGCAGGACCAGGCCTAGATGGGCCCGTGGGCTGTCCCTGTCTGGTGAATGCCACCTCCTGGACCTGGGAACATGGATGGGTTGGAAATTTTCCATCGCCGTGGATTTGACAAAGGAAGCTGTTTGCAGAAAGCGCCTGGAAATTCTGGCTTCTTGCCACAGAACCAAAAACTCCAAAAGAGAAAAATTTGGTGTTTGAGTTTTCAGTTTTTCATTGAAAAGCTGAATTTTTCCAGGCTCTGATGGTGCCTGATGTGCTGGATCATGAGCCGTGCCCTGAAAATCTCCCTGCAGGGGCGGATGAGAGTGCTGCGGGGTCCAGGGGCCTTGGGAAGCGTGTGGCCCGGGGCAGCTGCCCCGCTCACCCTGCCCTAAATCCACTGCTGTCTCCCTGGGCCCCTGCAGTTCTGCTGCCAGCTCCAGGGCAGATGAAGCAACAACCACCAAAGCCTGCCCAGGCCTAGGGAGATCGCCCAAAGACCCTGCAATTCAGCCACTGTGGGAGCAAAGTTGTCACAACACTGCCGAGGGGGGCAGCAGAGCAGGGGGCTGGGACTCTGCAAAGGGGCTGATTTCAGCCAGACCGAAAAAGGGGACGGCTGCGGGTTGGGAAGGTCAGGTCCTTCGTATCAGGGGACGTAGCTAAAACCCCTCCCAGGCCTGGTCACAGAGCGTGCCTGCTCCCAGCGCCATCAGCTGCTGCACGGATGTGATCACTCACGGATGTGCTGCATCAGAACAGGGCAATTTCCTTTTCCATAGCACATGAGCCTCACTCTGTTCTCTGTCTCCATGGCTGGGAAGCCCA